TGTATATCTGGCTGCATTTAATCTGTCGGGTAAAAAATGGTTCCACTAGAGAGTTGTTTTAAATTCCTAGCCAAACGTTAATAGCATTAATTATGCTGGGAACCTGTAATATTTTCCCTAATTGGGATTTTCATGAGCCCATACATGATAACTTCTTTGATTAATAATTCTTTCTTTTGTAAATGTAACTTCGTCCGTCCAAATTATTTTTGATGGAAATGAATTATCATGTTAGATTACTTAAGAAACCAATTGCTAAAATTCAATCTCTTTAAATAATCCTGAGATATAAAAGTGAATAATAAATTCGGCACTTTTTGAATATGATATGGATGGCGGTTATCATTTCTTAAAGTTCAGATTCTGTGCCGTGGCAATCGTAATGCAGTTGATGCTCTCCGGACGCTTGTTTCAGAATTGTTATCAAAGTGGCACAGGACACGATTTACATATTTGCTTTTAACGGATCTTGATGAATTAAAAATGAGCCAGTCTCTCGCAGTCTATTAAAAGCTGTTTTGTATTAACTTGCCGATCCAACACTTTTCTGTTTGGAAATCGGCGTGCATACTCTCGCACTGCTTCCGTAGCATTACCGTCGCAGAAACCATATCGCACGAAAACCATGTCAGCATATTCAACGTCGGAATACGTACGCGGCATATTGTGACATGAGTAATTCACTCGATAGCTTCCGACGAGTAACTGATGAATTTATAGGAGAAAGGCAGAAATAGTATATATAAACAAATAAAAAAATTTTCACTTAAAAATTGAATTATTATTAAAGTTTTCGTATACGATTTTAGCGATAATACTTCAAGTGCAAGAACGAAGTAACTACGTTTTAACTTGTTTTGCGATTTTCTTCAAAACGAAGCAAAAACGAACATATTTCTACAGAATTTTTTTTCTTAATTTATCAATCTCCTACATGTTTCTGAAGTTTTGACATTAAATTCCGAACATCCTGTATATACAGCATATAGCTGGTAAATGTCGTCAGAAATCGAATTTATCTGCTTGTATGGCATGACAGCAAAAATATGGCAAAAATCAAGTATGCACTGCTGTCTTTAAAAGTAAAAATAGCGCAGATATACGGCATAACAATAATATTATATCGGACCTTAGTTCTTCCGTTTGCCGCTATGTGACGTATTTTTCAATATTTATCTCATTTTAAAATTTTTGTTTTGGGCAAATAAAGATTGCATAACGCGGCTAGTAAAAATAAAATACATATGTAGTACTTTTTTTTAGTAATTTAATTTCTGACATAACTCCTTTAGAGAGAATTCAGAATATTAAATTGATTTTTTTTAACCAAGCAACAATTCTCTTAATGTAGAATTGTTCAATTATTGACACTACTTAAAATGCAAAATAATTAAAAGTATATTTATTTTGTAAAATTTCATTCTAATTAAAATGTACTTTCTTAATAAAAATGTATTTAATAAAAATTAAATGTGTGATAAAATATATTTATTTACTATATATAATTTCGGCTGTGTTTTTGTTATCATTATTTCGTTATTTGATAATATTATTTGATATAATAATAAATTATGTTGTAGCCTTGCCGCGTTTTCGCTGTCACAATGTAACATGAGATCATACTTGATTTCTATTGTCTTCTTGCTATCATTATTTGATATGGCAAACTTTGATATTTGTTCCATATTTTTACTGCTACGATGCATTTATAATATATATACATTCTGATACTAATCTCACACTGTACAACTGATTTTGAAGGTTTCCAATTAAAAATTCCTGCAGCATAAACTCATTTGTTTAAATTTAGAATCTTGGCCAAATCTTATGTAGCAATATCCTCTGTTAGAGTTTGTGCATTTTGGAGCACTGCACCTGAAAATTGATGTGTATCGCTTACAAATACTTAACCATATTAATAAATGACAAACTGTAACTTTTCCAACCGTTCTGTAATCTATTTTAACTTATTTCTACTGTGTTTTGGACCTTTGATGATCGCGTTCAATTAGAAGAGACCGTGTTACGTCATGCAGTTTGCCACTTTCTCCCTGTGAAGCTCTCTACTGTCAGGTGTCAGCTAGTGGCTCACCAGCCAGCCCTGCTTCCCCTTCTAACTCAAGCCGCCGATTTCAGGGACAGCTGTCAGCTGTCGCGATATAAGGTCTATTCCTCATAGTATTGGAAACTTTTCGATTCTTTTTTCTTTGTGTTACACGACGTAATATATAACCAGGGATCTACATATATTGAAAATAAAGATTAAAAATATTTACTTAAAAAAGAAAAGTTATTTAGTAAACTTAGCTATTTTTATTATAAATAACTTCAAGAAATTATTTTTAAACAAACAACTTTATTTTGCTATAACGCAAATTGAAGTCGATATTGCAAAACTTGGTAGCAATACTAAACGTATCCGTCTATCACATTAATTATGTATAGGTGTAAAATGCAAAAAAAGAAATTCTTTTTAGAAACCTTGACGTGAAATATTTTTTATAAATTGTCTGTTTAAAATTTAAATTAATTTTGATAAATAAATAAAATTAATAAAATAGACATGACTTTGTTTTTTTAATTAAAATGAAATATATAATAAATGCTTTTAATGCCTTGTAATACCCAAATTTTATGCTCATTAATACCCAGTAATGCCCCAAGTTTGTACACTGTAATGTCGTTTTTCCTTGTGCTTTTTCAAGCATTTTTAGAAAAATCTATATATCTATATATCTAAATAATTATTTCAAATATATAATAGGGGAGAGTAGTCTAAACCGGATCTAGTTGCAGTTTGTTTTCTATAAGGTGTAAATGAAGTCCGATTATAAAACTAATGGTGCCGTTCGAAAGATCATTTAATTTCCTTCATTTTTGCTTCAGACATTTTGACGTATCTCTTACCTGTGTCGAATTATAATTGAAAATGCATTTTCCAGAACATAGTTCCAAATCGGACCTCTCTATTTTTATGAACTTTTAGATAGAATTTTAAAATATTTCAATTAATTTTTTTGTTAGTATTGAGTAAAAACGAGCAATTTAAGACTCAAAGATAAAAATACAGTTTGTATTATTAGAATTAAAATCAATAAAAAATTCCATCAACCTGAGTCTGATGACACATGACATTTTACTGATTTAGTGTTCCTTAGATCAGATATGGTCGGTCGATCACCACTACTACAACCAGGTTGTGGCGAACCTTCTTTCTTTGATGAATTAGCTTACTCGTCTTTTTAGTGTTTTTTGTATAGATCCGATTTGGACATGGGTTCTTTCGAACTATTGGAACAAATTTTACAATAAATCGCAAAAGTAATCACAAAACTCTTGATATTTTTGAATTCTACACTCTTTAATTATCTTAAATCAATTACCGTTCAAATTTTTAACATCTTTTAAATAATTATTTACAAGGATTTTCTTTTTTAAAAAAGTTTTTGCATGATAGGCGAAAATACATATTTGCGTCTATTCTATGAACGTTACAACAGAGTACTGCCGAATTGCTGTCACATGTTCGGTGTCTCATAAGGACTTTACATTATAAATAGCACGCAAATCTACTTAACCGTATTTAAATTAAAAAGGTCCGATTTAGAACACGGTCTGATTTAGGACATTCTCCCCTATATATTATATCTCCCCTATAGGTACTGAATACTTAATATGAAATATATACTATATTGGAGTTATAATGATTCAATAATTTATTGTTACTCCAATATATATATTTCTTATTAAGTATTCTCTCAAGATTTTTAAAATATCTTACATTTCTATAAATATTCTAAATCTAATCAAGTAGATTTATCAAAATTTATACAGAGAATTTGCATTATAAAAATCAGTAATCTTGAATGTTTTTCGATGTTGCAAATATAGCTGCAGGCCTTCAACTTTTTCACACAAGATCAATACATATATGCCGGACTCTTTGTAACGTCAATGCATTCGTACATGGATAAGAAAAGACGATCGATGCAGCGTATTTCTTTGATATCGTGTAATGCAAAGTGGTAAGCATAGACACTACTTGTTTCAATTAGATAGGCCAATAACGCGTTACATTGTATCCCGATAAGTTCTGTTAATTGAAAATAAAAATCTACATAAATTGAAACAAACCTTATTCTGAAGAAACTATTAAACTTGTAGGAAAAAATTATAATTTGTGTAAGGAATTAACGCTTTCTTATGTACTTCTATATTATTATTACAATACTGTAATATTTGAGTATTGTCAGATTCAGCACTATTTTTCTTACTTTTTAATTTAATCGATTTTACTTTTTTCTTTGGCTCGTTGCCCTTTCCTCTTTTGATATTTTTGATTTTACTTTTATTATCTTGTATATCATCTTATTTATTAGAAAATAATTCTAAAATTATTATATAATATTATCAAACAATTATCAGTAATTTTTAGTCATGTTTAGTGATATTTATTATCAAAATATTTTTTCTATTAAACAACCTCCAAATAAAATTTTACATTAGAAGTATGATATTTTACATTAATAATTTAACTATTTTGTACAATTTTTTTAAATTATAAAAATGTTAGAAAAACTCTTTACTCATATAAAAAATTATGATTCCTTCATTTCCTTTTACCTACACTGAGAATAATGTACTAAATTTTAATATATATATTTTTTAATGATACTAACAATAAATTAACTTTAATAGTCTTAAGTTACATGTTTACCTATAAATAAGTATTTATCCAATGAGAAATGATAATTAAATAAGACAAATAATTCTTGTAAGAAATAAATATGTGTTTATAGATTTAGAAAGCATTCAGCTAATACTATTCAAATAAATATTGAGTAAAATTTAGTACATTTTTCTGTGTAAAAATTAAATTTTTTATTTTATCATTGTTTTTTTATAATATTCTGTGCGAAGGGTCATATTTTAAAAAATTATTTTTTATAATTTTGCTAAGATTAACTGATGTTTTCCAACAAGCGACATAATGTGAAACAGTGATATTATCTTCGTTTAACATTAACAAACAAGGATATAATAATTCTCTATGTTACTGTGTCATTTGTCTCTTGCTGAAAAGCACCTAACTTCGTCAAGCAATCGTTAGTAACATATACGAAGTGTGTTAACATGACTTCTTCATTTATCATTAGGCCCTCTTGTTCCACAGAAGACCGCAAAGACTACAAGCCATACTGTTTTCGTCTTAGCAAGTTGCTTGGACTGCATTTGTTATTATTATTTATTTTCAAGCAGCTTATCGTGAGAACAAAAGCGGGAATTTACAGACGGACACTTCTTAAAGTGCTATCTTCAATTCTCTTTACCATAATGTGAAAAGCAAGATGAGATATTTTTACGCCTGGGCATTCATGCCTGGGTTCAATTTTTAAGCTGGTCGGTGCGCTCCATTCTGCAAAAGCAGCCGTCGTGTATATCTGCTGTATCATGATCAAAACGTCATACATCATCAAATCTGTGAAAGATATATATCTTTATTGTATTATGTACATATGTATTGTACAGAATGTGCAAAAAGTCCTGGACCTCTCAAATATCTTGAAAAGTAAGCATTTCTGAGAAAAATATTTCATGCAAAAGTTATAGAGTCGAAAATTATCTATTTACTGACCTTATCAATTTGATCTTGGATAGTACCACCATGATCAAAGTCAAATCGATTTTTGTAAACGAAACATCCTATTTTTGACTTCACTATCTAATAAAATCTAAATAGCAATATATTTAATATATATACTTAAAATTTTACATAATTCACACATTTTCATTTCTTTGCAAAGTGTGTTTCTTTCTAATTGGTTTAATTGACAATGCTACTGCCGCTATGCGTAATGCCTCACCTTGTTTTTCACCCTATGCTCTTCACTACATTTTCGGCTTCTTTCGTTTTATCCTTTCTGTTTCGATGCATTTTTTCATTCCTTGCAGCCGCTGCGCTACTCTTGTTTTTCTTTTTAAGCGCGTGCGTGTTCACGCAAAAAGTCTCAGCCCTGCGAATCTGCGTGCACTACAAAATGCTCAACTGCTACGAGGATGGCGGCGGCAGCGGCGGCGGTGGTGGTGGTAACGGTGGCGACTACCACCGCGTAGTCGATCGATGGTCTAGTGCCACTTCGCGCGCGCACCCCGTCCTGATTCCTCTCGCTTGCCCCTCCCATTCTCATCCTAACGATCTGTCCTTATCGTATACACTTTTCGGGATGCAAGGAAGGCCTTTTCCGCATTTCGGCGAGAAATGAATGCATCCCCTTTCTTCTTCATTCCATTTTGTCTTGTTCACCCTTTTCCACTCCATCCTGCATTTTCTGTGCACTTTTTTTTTTTATCTTTCTTTGCCTTGAGTTTTGCTTCAATATTGTATTACGCGTTTTTTATTATCCTTCGTTAATTCTTTCTTTTCAAGAGAAGCTTTAAAATTTATGTTATAATCAATCGTCGCTTGATCTTGTTTGAGAAACTCTTATTTCAATTTTATTCGAATTTTAAATAATCAAAAGTTTGCACACGTCTTTTTAGTGCTATTTTGTATGATTTTCATTGTGTATCAGAATATTATGATACAAAAAATTCATTCTTCTAATTTATCTTTTACTTGGCCTATGATCTCTCACTTAATGTGTTTTACACGAGTGCCTTCTTTAATGTTTAAAAAGAGATTTGTTCTTTTAATAATTTGTTTTTTTCTTCAGATTTAAGAATTGAAGTCCTTTAAATTTACATTATAAATGTAAATGAAGTTATCACCGTAAACATATCTCTTTTTCGTCTTATTTTCTCAAAGGCTCATACGAAAAGATCGTTATCCCTCGATTTTTCCACCCTATATAAGTGGGCTTTCCTTCTCTGCAACCATATCTTCTTTTTCTACTCCCTTCTTTTTGTTCTTTCATACCTTTCCTCTCCACAAAACAAATGTCCGTTACGTAATGCTCTTCATCGCCGTTGCTGATCTAATCGCAACTGTGATAGCGCTATTTTGGTCTAGCTCTTACTTAATAACATAAAACGCTGCTTTTCCTCCGCAACCACCGTTTAACCAACGTAGGTACTTCCCCTCTTTTCCTTTAAACTTTTTTGCTTTTGATGGCTGCGCCAAATAGTCATTACTGTGGCTCCCTCTCGCTTCGATGTTTTTCAACTTTCTCAGTCTTCTCTCTCTCTCCTTCTTCCTATTTTTGCTGACTGCAATATTTCTTTTTTCCTCTTCATTTTCCTTCTCTTCTTTCGATGTTGATCTTTCGTCCTTTTTCTTCCTCATTTTGATTCCCTCTTCACCCCTCTTCTTCGTCCGTTTTTCTTCTTTTCATTGTTTTTCTCATTTCTTCTTTGCCTTTTGTAATGTCCTCTTTCTCTCTGGTTTTTCCCACTCCCTGCGCATCCCCTTCTTCCACCCTCTTCTCCCTACCACGTAGAACGGCAGTCGAGCGGTCGCAGTTCGAACACGCCAGCTTGCGGATCACGAAGGGCCTGTCCGTCTGCTATTTCCATCCTCGTAAACGATTCCTCTTCTCGTTCCTTCGAGCGTCGTTCGGCCTCACTCTTTCTCCCTCTTTCTTTCTCTCGTTTTCCATTTCTTGCTTTTTCTGTCCTCTCTATCTCTTCCTACCCTTGCATTCTCTTCTCTTTCGTTTCCTCCACGCTCCTGAGACCGCCTTTCGTTCCGCCATCGAACACCGCTCGATCTACCTCCTGTTAAGTGGATACAGCACGTATTGGTCAGACCGACGGACCATACACCACCGTGGCATCGTCGTTTGTGCCGTTCACATTTCTCAGTTGCAAATGTTGCAGCGGGATGGCACTTTGATAAACTGAAGGATTGCAATTACACACCGGTTGACAGGAGGTTAGTTCACACAGAAATACTCCCTTTTTGCGAGTACGCGTCTCCATCTCAGACCAAGCTTGTAAGTTCGCTCGATAGGAGACCGCCGAAAGAGTCGCCGTTCCGAAGCCCATTGACAGTCTACGAACACAGCGTAACGACACACCCAAATTGTGAAATGTGTATTCGAGTGTGCCAACGGTTAGTTTTGTTTAAAACTGCATTTGTCGCTGCTAGATCAATACCAAAAAGAAAACTCGTACGCACTGAAACTTCTCGGTCGACCGAGAAGTTCGTGTTGCTGTGCGGTCCGCTACCGCATTTTCGTTTTTAGAGCAATCTCTAGAGTGGCCCTAGAGTGCGATAACAGTCATGTCGAGACGTATTGAGATGTGTCGTGTAGAAATTGTGAGACGTTCCTTGGATTGAATGTCATTGTGTGATGGCAACTAATCCATAAAAATTGACGATGGTTATTATATTCTTATTATTCAACAATTAATCGCGCTAATCGATAGTAACGGACATATAATTAAGTTCACATTAGTTGACGATGGTCATTAGATCGATGATCTGTGCCTCTATACGGTTAAATTGAAGACAATCGAGACAGTGATTTATTAAAATTGATAATTTAATTAATTCTGATCACGGTTGACGTCAATACTGAATTTATTATTCACTAATTAAATTATTAATTTACGGTATTCTAACGAATTAACTATAGTTGTTAGACTTTCCGAAGCTTCAACGAAGCAATTTTTGCTGCCATGTCGGATGAGAAAGTCGGATTCCGTTTTTCGAGCGTGGAAGGACGCACGTAGCGACACGGTGTGTTATATTAAATCGAGGCGGCTATCGATTTTTTACGTGTGCGCCTCGTCAGCTTGAATGTCGAGGATGAACGGAAACATCGCGGTAGATACCGATATCCGATGTATAGCCAATCGAACGAGATTATGTGTTCTAATACGAATTAAAGAGAAACCATACTTCTTTATAGCAGTTCTCTCACAAATTGACGGTAATAAACGTAATGATGCACCAGAATACATTTCAGTTACGGTTGTAATTGGAATTTTAATAACCAAGTGTCTAGATAATGTGCAAAATTTTTAAATAATAACACTTTTTAATCGAATTTCAACTAAATGACAATTTGTAATCGTCGATTTCTATTAGAAAACTTTTTCTCTACACTGTATTTAGTGAATGCAGGTATGGAAAACATTCCAGAACTTAATTTTATTTTTATTAAATGTTTCTTAATAATTAATAATTTTCATATTTTTAAAATAATTTTGTTTTGACGAACCAATTAAAGCATCATATGTATCAAATATTATAAAAACGATAGTCATTACACAGCATCTTTTTTGTAATAGTTATAAACATTTGTATATTACTTAAAAATTATAATTCCTAGGTAATTATATTTTTATTAAAGCAGTGTGATAATTTGAAAAGATAAAAATTTCAATCTTTTATTTGTAAAGGTTATAAATATTTTAATAAATTTTACTTTTTCTCATTCACACACATCACAAGTTTTATTTTTAAAGAGGATTTTAAAGTCATCCGTTTTACCTGAATACAATCATTTTTCCAGATATTATTTTTTTAATTGTCTTTTTATCAGATTTAAAAATCCTTTTCCACAATTAAAGCATAAACAATAACACAATCAAAACTGTTTGATTTTATGCCAAAAATGAAAAAAAACATTTATGGAATTTATTAGATCTGTTTTATACTTCCAAAATCGTGTCTAGAGCTGTCAATTTATGCGTTTATTTATGTGTTTAAAAATATATGTATAATTTATGTAGTATATTAGATACCTAATATAAAAAATTAGTGCATTAGAAAATTTTTGCATATACGTGCAGTATTGATATAGTAGTATGTAATGACATATCCATATATGTATGATAAATCGTATGTGTGTAAGTTCTATTGAATAGATAAAACAGCGATCCTGTCGAAGTTCGGTTTTCACTTTTTAAAATCCTCTTAAATAGTTGCAATATAGCTAAACTCAAATCATTGAAAGATTCAAAATAAATTCTCTCTCTCTCTCTCTGTAATTAAAACCAAGGATTTTAGTGCCTTCTGTGTATATAAATTTGATATAGTTACTGAAATTGTACATATGAATTATATATTGCCTCATCATTTCGTAGCATTGCTGTTTTGAAGTAATAGAATTCTATATCGGGCCGAACGAGGATATTAAAATTGTATATTTCATAAACTGTGAACAATAAGTTGTTCCTTATTTTTTTTAAATCATCTATCTGACAACTGAAAATCGCATCGATCATATATCATGGGATATTTCCTGCTTAGAGTCGTATACGTATGTGCATATAATGAAATGTGCTTGGGGGGTACGACTATTATTGTAAAATCAGTCTACGTTTGAAACGAAACAAGATTTTTATACCATACTTTGTGAATGGTATATCAGCGATGGCATCGCCATTTAAGCTTTTCACAAAACGACTTATCGATCACGAAAAAGGTATAGCACGTCGCGCTTTAACGCTGCACGGAAAAATCTGAAGGTGCATTTTCTTTAACACTGCGCTGTCGCAAGTTTACGAAGTGGAAATAAAATTTAAATTGCATTTACCATATGTGTCAATAAACGTTTACTTGAGATTTCATTTATAGCTGAAATATTGTACCTACTTATTTTGTCATTATGGACCTCGATGAAAAATATAAGATACTGAAAATTGTTTAGCTGCAAAGTTCACGAATATGGAACATGTTTTTCTTAGCAAAAATTATTTGACGGCAATTGTAGAAGCAACTATTTAATTTTTGGTAACATCTCTATGATCACTTTCGTTTTGACTAAGATTTTTATCGAAGTTTACTAATTATGCATTTATTTTTTGCATATTATTGTTCGTCATCAAATGTCTTGACATTTCTGTTTTTTAACCTTTATTGACATAAAAATATGAATATAATTATCATTGTAATGTATAAAACTTTAAGTTTATTAAAGAATTAATTTCTAAATATTTATATAATTAATATTATAAATAATTTTTTATCATATAAGCAAGCTAACACTTGTTGTTGCAAACTTTTTAAATTTGCATACAAATATTATGAAAAAATCTAGTTAGTCGGTATTGAACCTTTAAAATTTTAAATGTATCTGTGACATAGTACAATGTGAAGTACGTGCTGGTAAATAGACCGATAAAAATCAATCTATTTATTCCTTCGCACAGTTCGATACAGGTAGTGTGACGTACTGGTTCAATCTTGATAAAAACCGTGACCTCGTGTAAATGTATAAAAATAATATTGTAGGTTTTACAATCGGATCTTTATCTGTCTTAACTTTATCTGTCTTACTCCCTGCCTTGACTTAAATGTAAAAATCCGACTGTATAAAAAGAGACAGGAAAAAGTGCAGTGTCATCCTGGAAATAATCGACCTATCGTGTATTATCGTCTACTCAAAATAACTCGCAGCTTCCTTCCCGCTCTGTTCTCTTTTTTTACGCTTTTCCTACAAGTAACGTATGTGTTAAAAAGGAAATTAACACGCACTATTTTGATAAAGATAAACGAAAACGTAGAAGAAGTATCAATTCATCGTTCATGAATATTG